CCGAGATTGCTGGAGTCGGCTGGCTGGTCCGAGTCAAATGAAGCAGCGGGTACCGCGAACTATTTTCAAGATGTATTTTTTTTGCGTTGGGGAGATGGTTCGCTGTGATTTTAGTCAGTCAGAGCAATTCACTGCCTAACAAAAAGTCCAGTTGATATTCGAATAGTGTAGAATTTAGTAGGATTTAATAGTGTCACTAAAAAAAATTTACGATATGTCAAGGATCGATACTTGCTTCTGATGACGATGTAGCATGAAATGGCTCAAAATCGCTTTTAAAACACTTTTGCACCTTTAGCTTTATCATGTGTGTAATTACAAATGTCCACTGCAAATACAAATGTGGGGTATATCTTCATGAAAACCCCTACAAGAAATACAATGTATTTTCAACAATTTATGTTGCACTCTATGTTGGCAACACACTGTACAGCGTCTCCATGTGAGACTACGGCATGCACAAGTATTGAACACTGGCAACAGCTCTTCACCGCTGCCTCTTTTGATCCAAATTCAAAGCCGTACTTGCAGGAGACAGGACTAGATTATGGCTACTCCTGTCATGCACCACCCCATACTATCCTATATATTAACTACATGTAAATTGATACACTGACATAGCTGAGTGAACATACGTGCTGTAAAGTAGACTAATGAAAACTTATGGACTACTTGTGATCTGAGGCGTCGCAAAATTTGCCAATTGAAGAACTGTTCCAAGTGCAAAGGGCAAGCACAGTTCGGAGGAGATCATCACTTCCCTCTCAGGCTTCAACCCTCTTCACAGTGAATCTGTACCTATTTTACCAATTCATAGGCTTGTGCTGCTGTTAAATATCCATGAGCAGATATTTCGTTTTAGTGATAACTACCTCTTGTGGATCCGTGGGATTGTCCAGGTGGTTGACCTGTTTCTGGATTTCTCTGAGCTCTGCAGATATTCCTTCTGTGCCACCCCAGTCTGCTGTTACAAACTCTTGTTTACCAGACCCAAGCCTGTACAAAAAAGAGCAGTTAAAACCTTCCTTTTTATTTCATTGAAGGGAGCTAATCATCCTTAGCTGTGTCTGCAAAGAGGAATTATAAAGGATGTGGCTAAATTGTGGTTGGGCCAAAGGCATGTATACATGGCACCTGAAGCAGCCACAAGATAACCCATATCTGACCACAGAACATGGTCACAGATCTAAATATTTCCTTTAATGGAGGAAGGAAAACCTGAAAACCCAGAGAAAAGCCCAAGTGGCACAGGAGAGCATCAGCTGACAACCTTACTCACTTGTGACCTGAGTGGGGAGTTGATACCAGAACCATTTGGGAGAGGGATGAGTGCCAGTGGTTAGAATTAAGAGGCAACACAAAGTTTGAACTAAAACGCCAAACACTGCATTAATGTGACTTAACGATCGTTCAGAATTTGCAAACGTTTTTCAAAACCACCTTGTCAAAATTTTTGCTAGAAGACAAAAGATTCTATCATTCCTGCAAAGATGGAGTTTTTCCTTCACCTGGCATTGGAGCTTCCAAGCTTGGAGTGAGCACAAAGGTACTGCAGTATGTCATGCAATGAGGCAACGATTCGCAGGCTCTGGGAGAGCGCCCTCGCACAAGTGTCTTCATCCAAGGTTTTAAACATGTGCAGGACCTCCGTGTGGTGGGGGAGGAACCATAAGTTCAAGAGGGTAGAGCCATCGGAGGACAAGAGACGTCTTGGTCGCTTCTTGAGGTCCCTGTTGCAGGATGGCCCACATTATGAAAAGTGAAGAACTTTTTTTAAGTCTTGTCCAAAGATTTGATTCTGAGTCCATATTGACCTCATGTCCTACAGTCCTTTTTCCGATTTCCCCTTTATCCAAATGAGTAATCCTAATTCTACAGGATTAAAATTGTTTCCAAAAGTCATTGAATAGTACGCCTGGGAAACTAACTAATAAACCTTTTAATGAATGTCCAGTTAATGTTAGAAAATGATAATGAATGAAATGACTATTTAAACTTTGTTTATAAATACAGTGATAAAAACTGTGATTAGTAACTGTGATTGTTCAAAGCCATGATGTTTCAAAGCTTCAATATTATTTGTGAAATTTCAGTGCAAGACCAGTGTACAGCTACTCAGCAATTGTGGTGAAAAAACTTATCATATGTATCAAACACATCTTTTTTGTGGAAAATCAAAGCTCTTTTTTTCTGGTTATTGCAAGTGTTTCATATCGATACAATTGTGTTAAAGTAAATGCTGGACAACTTTGCAGTTCACCTACCTCGGGTTGGTGACTAGCCCCTTCTTGTCATCCATGGCCGTCTTTTTCTCGTTGGGCAGGCCCACCACGAAGCATCCATTGCGGATACTAGGGAAGTTCTCCAGCAGGAAGAGGATACTGTTCAGGTAAGCGATGAGCTGCCCTCGCAGGGAGTACTGGGTCATGCGACGCATGAACCGCCGACAGAAATCCACTATCAGGCCCCTGGGGGGCGTGTGGGGGGAAGATAAAGAAATTCCCTAAATTGTTTGCCTCTTAATTAACCTATTATTAATAATTTTTTCCACAGGCTGCACATGTGCAATGGGGTTTTACATATATCCCTCAAATATCAGGAACTCTTTGTGTTAACAGCTAAAATTGCTCTTTGTTTGCAATGCTCACTTTGGAGGTCAAAAATTAACTGATTAATTTTTTCAAAACTTACAGTAAGTGTTGTCCCTAAATTTGGAATTCTGTGACTCGAAGTGATCTGACTATGCCAAGTGCTGGGATACCCATACCTCACACAAAGATGCTGTATCACAGATCATGCTTTATTTACAGCACATGTTCTTATGGGAGCTAAACAGAGATGAAGGATTTGTAGCTCCATATTAAAAAATATTTGTATACAAATCATGATGTAATCTGTACATGGGCCTATATATCAGACCTCCAGGGAGAACATACTATTGACAACTGGTAAAATAGAACAAAATAAATAAACCAGCATATCACCGCACACCTGCTTTAGGGGCTGTCCACAATTTTCATTATTTCCAAGAGCGTACAAACTGTAGAGGAGGAGGGAGTTAAAGACCTCGTGCACGCATTTCTGAATATGAAAAATGATGATCCTTCAATGAATCCATCAGCTCTCCATCCATCATCATTTTTTACCGGCTAATGTACACTTTGGAAGGGGAGGAGTGTAGTGAAAAGTCTATTTTTTGTACACTTATGAAAATGATGAGAATTATGGATAGCCCCTTAACATGCTTAATAGAGATCAGTTGTGGACCAAAGGAATTTACATGCCACTTTATTAACTTGGAGAATATGGAAGAACGGGTTTCCCCAGCAAAATCTGCCACAATGTTTTACCGTTTGAGTTTCTCCACTTCATCAGGGTTCTTCATAATAGTTCCTAAGTTGGCTTTCTTGGTCAGGTAAGTATTTAGCATCACGTCCCTTGAAGGGGTCTGCGTACAACAGAGAAGATAAATAAAATGGTCAGAGTGTGTACAACCTACATTTGATGGAGTGTGAGAATTCTTGACCTCTCCTGCATACTGAGAGAAAAACAATCAACTCCATCACACTCCAATCTGCTAAAAACACAACTGTCATTTAATTTCAATTAATCTAAAGCTAATTTTGTTAAATTTGGTTTTTTTGTTGTGATGACCATGTTGTCAAAATTTAATTTCACTTTTCTGCAGTGGGTTTTTCATTAAAGCTACTTTAATTATTCTTTAATGTTTATTTTCTTAACCATTTTTGTACTTAACCATTATAAGTCTAAAAGGAGACAAAAGAAGCTGTACAATAAAATTTATTTCTTGCTTCTTCAGTGATGAGGAATATTATATTATTCACAAGTTCTATGGAAAAAAAGACCTACAGAAATCGTCAGACATACTATGAAGTGACCAATCTAGTGCACAAAGCCTTAGAAGCCTGATGCCTCACTTCAACTTGCATACTTATAAAGATTAGTCAGTTCGCTATATGACTGACCTAAAACCTCTGACAGAAATATCTAAAAGTCAACTCTTGACTTTAAAACTTTTGTCTTCCCCCTTTTGTCCTGACCCTCTGTGCGTCCCGTAGTTTTTTTTCACACAACTCCTACTGCACCAACTGGTTTAATTACAACCTCCTGGTCAATTAAATAACTGGTTCCACTGAAATACCTTTTCCAGCTGCAAGGAAACAAAGGACTCCGGGGACCTCTTGTGGCTCTCCATTGAGGACTTGAGCTTGGCCGCAAAGATGACCGAGGTGGCAGTGGCCATGGGCGTGGCAGCATTCTGGCTGGCCAGGAGGACATTGGTGCGGTCACTGCCTGCATTCTGGGGAGACTTCATGCCACTGTGCAAATGGATAATAAGTTGAGGGGTATGATAAAAGTATATAACCTCCTGAGGTGACTAGTGACTTGGCTTAAAACTAGATGGCTTGTAATGGACCTGTGATGGACTGCACAAAATTGTGATGGACTGAACTCCAATACTGTTGGTATTAACAGTTATGAATATTTATTTTATCCAAAATAGGATAGATGACTGACTATTGCTCTATCCTACCTTGTCTTGGGACCATTGTCTGGCCCGTCCTCCTTGAAGAAGGAGCAGACACTGCCCTGTTGAACGGCAGCCAAGAGGGCATTCTTGTGAACCACCTGAGCCATCAGGACGGCCTGTAGGTTCTCCAGGCTGCTACCTTTCATGAGCTGTCGGGCAGGAAAAATACACAGATGAGGATGAAGCTCATAGACAGTGTTTCAGCTACAGATGCAGAATTTACAAAAAAGAGGAAGGGGGCTGCAAAACATTACAAAAAAAGAAGATGGGTGCCCTAAACAGGGGTGAAACACAAACATTCGAGCAGGACAGACATTTTCTTATCAAGATGTAAATTTCTGTCTACTAAACACATGTAATTGAAACTCCAGTTGAGACAAGAGGAAACAGAAGAAGTATACCCAGTAAATAATGTGAACAAAGGGAAGGGTCTGCCTCTGGATGCAGTTTTGTGTGTTTTTGGACCGAGAAACCTGCAGACAGTTTGGTGTGACTACATCTACTGAGGGCATTTCTTATGTTGTTTTGGGTAGATAAATTCAATAAGTTACTCTAAAGAAAAACACTTTTTTATCATGATTTTATTGAAGTTAATTTTGCAATGAAAAAATTTTCATAGGCAAGCATTCCTCAAAAACTGTTTTGCATGGGGAGAAACCTTGTGTGTGTTGTTTTACCAAAGATCGTATAGCATTGCAAAGCAGCGCAAGATGGTGAACTTCACCGTGAATAGACGTAAAACGTTGTAATCGCATGGGCGCCATTTGAGCAAGCGATACGCCCGCGCAATGCACATTGCAGCCACATGCACCTGGTGTGCCTGCGCCCAAGCATTACTGTAAACTGTGCAGGCGTATCGCTTGCTCAAATGGTGCCCTTGGTAATTACATCTTTTGGAAAGAGTTATCCATCTTGCGCCTTCAGTGCTATACGATCTTTGCTTTTTACAAAAGTCCACAAAAGATCTTCACTAGCTGCCTCTTTTGTTCCCAGATCCATTCAAAAATAGCATGCCAAGTTACTCACAGTAGCAGTGTGCCAGTCACGTCATGTGCTACACAAATAGTGCACTTACAGTGCAAAGTATACAAGACAAATTTTCATTTGAATGTGTACAACTCCATGGTATCATGGTGCAGGGTATATGGCAACTCTCATCTCTCTCCCTTTAGTAGTTACTTGAGCATTTACTTGAAAGAGACCACTTTCCTATTGCTTTAACACCTCCTTTATGATCATTATGATGATCAAGATTTAGGATGGGATGGAGGTGGAAGGGGAAGCCCTAGTGAATGGTGTAATGAACATATGAAATGCGACCTGTGTGGGAACTATGGTTCACAGCACACACACTCTGCTTTGTACACAACACTATTAAAAAGGTAAACCCTATCTGCGAGTCGAAGACATGACAAAACTACATCCTATTTAATATGAATGTCTTTCAATTCCCTACATGTTAACAAGGTTTTAGTTACAGGAAGATCAATACCTTGAGAAAGCCGTCTTTAGTCCGGAAGCTAAGCTGACCCACATGCTTCTCATCCAACTCATGGATAGCCAGGAACAAACTTGACGGCACATATCTAAAAATATTTAATTTATTTTGTTAGACACTTTAATAAGTTTGACCAGAAAATAAAGCAACATGCCTCAACGTTTTAGTTAGGTTCACACCACTTCAACAGAAAGCAATGTCATGCAGCCTTCTGTTCTGATTCGCCAATTATGTCGAAACAAAGGAGGGGCAACAGAAAACAAGCATATACACTAAGGTTATACTGACCAAGTACTGTGGACGAGTAATAGTATTTGACAGCAACGCTTGTCACATGCAACCAACGAAAAATGCTTTGCAAACAGACTTTAATTTTAGTCAAATTTTACGAAGGTTTCAGGGTCCAATTTCACGAAAAGTGCAGTAAATTTGAACTATGCGTAAGCCTTGCACCATAAATTTGTGTCGTAGCTGCGCAATACACTCGCGTTCAATTTCATGAAAAATTGGTTAGCGATGCCACATTTCAATAATATTGCATTTTTGGAAAATGACAATAACGGCTTTTATGAGGGCTGTTCTTTTCTACTATAACAAGAGTCATCAAGCAGTCACTTATCTACCTCTGCCAGCCATTTTGAAAAAGCTCACATCATTTCTTTATCAGAACCCGACAGGCATCTAGCAGTTCTCTCACAGCAAAACAAGTTTTTTGTTAGCCTCTAAAACAAAGTTGTACCTTTCTTATATAAGCCTTATTAAGTTCAGCAATGATGAAGCTTAACTGAACATGAACATCCTAGTCAAATTGTTCATTTTCACTTAGTTTGGTGCAACTTATGCCACTTAACATGACAGTGGAAGTTACACCATAATTTGTTGCATAAAGCGCGGACTTACACAGTGTCTAAGTTTCGTGAAATAGCTCTTAATTTGTTGTGCAACCTATGCAATAAAACGTGGCATACATGTAAGTGATGTTATGCCATTGCTTAAAGACTACATTTAGTCTAAACTATCAGACTCTTTTCTGTAAACAAAGGCTCAAACACCTCACAGTGTTCAGTTTCACAGCTTTTACTAGAACTGAACCATTTTATTTAAACATACCTTCTGGACTCAGTATTAAAAAGGACTCAACTCAAAGCTTAAATTGAGGATATACGGACTCCTCCACCTATAGTTTTGTAGAATCAAGTTTTCTTTATTTCGTCACAACCTCATGTCTCTACGGTATTTGCCATTTAAATACATTGAAAAAATGTACTTAACATATCACTTTTTCCCTTAGATCTCATTCTTGAGGGGATACTAGTTACAAGTATTTAATAGAAAAGAGAAATTTACTGTATCAGAAAATCTTACCTGTCAACATTTGTGTCGTCTTCGTGAAGTGCTGTGATGAAGAGTGGAGGGGGCTGGTCAGCGTTCTCCTTGTGGGAGGCAAATTCAAACTGGACACATCGCAAGAACAGATGGCACAGGTCAAAGCCCATGTCAGCAGCCTGGTCCTTGTAAAGCTGGGTGGGAACAGAAAATGGACACATCAAGGAAGAATCCAATCGCTGTGTACTTTTGTATTTTTGTATTCGATCTCAATCCATTTCATTAAAAGTGCACACATGAGGCTCTCTGACAACGTGTCGGGAAGGCATGATCTTGAGGACCAACCCTTGAACACAAAAAGTATGATCAATTGAAAGCAATATCAGACAGTGAAGTGCAAATTTTCATGAAATATTGAGTGTGTGTATTGAGTTTCCAATGACAAACAATGAGGTGGGCCTACTCTTTCACTAATGTTTCCTACGTTCTGAAGTGTGAAACTTTTCCCAGGCATGCTCAGAATGAGCCTGATGAATCAAACATTACCATTTTGAGTCGATTACATGAATAGTAAAGGAGGTAATTAGCTTTACATTAAGAAATCATAGACCTATCCAGGATATTTGTTGCACTCTGGTGTTAACACTTTTTGTAAACAATTTCACTGGGTTATTGTAAGTTGCAGCAGCCTTAAATGCACTGTCACAAACTAAAAAGAGGTTCAAATCTTTTATTTCTTCAGTTATTTAGAAGCATTATTTCATTTCTCTGTATGGCATTTGGAAATAAAAAAATTGTAAAAACCGGCAAATACAAACTATAAGTGAGCTCTTCCCCGTGTGCAGCACTCTGTATATGCACTGTACAATACCACACATTTTAGTGTCACACATTCAGTCCCACATAGATTATACCAGTTCAAGCTTTTGCAACAGTTAATGGTTAAACATGGCTGACACAGTTGACATGCATGCATGGTTTGTGTGCATGATCATAGTGCCCACTCCTTGGCTCTTCCAAAATTTCACACAATGTCCTTCACATTTGTTGCATAGAACAAAGAGCCTAATAATAGCAGCAGTAATGTGCAAATACCTTGGAGAGCAGCTCTGTTTCATTAGCTGTTTCAATCAGCCTGTGTCTCAATGTGATTGTCTGCAAATGGGAAAAAAAGTGCCGAAGAGAATACATTAACAGTTGATGCAATGTGTACATGCACAAGGTGCAGATTGCTACTAGTCCAGTACCAAGTCAAGTATTGGAAGTATAGAACATGAAGGAATTTATAGCACTTTACAAGGACTGATCAAAAACATCTTTACATTAGTCAGCAAACTCTCTCACCAGATGTAATGAACAGAGGCACTGTCCTGCAAGGCTTATGTAGTGTAGATGTGGTTCAAAGTAAAGCTGTTGTTCCATAGATAATTTAAATCATAGACTGTCTTTAAATAACAAGAACCATGGCCTTGTGTCACAGTACACAACTCCTGATCTTAGCTTCTCTTTAAAAAGGCATGATTTGTTAACCCTTGTAAGAAGATGCCTCTTTTCTTTGAAATAGTGTCTTCACGATGAATGCTAATGCAAAGACACTTTTACGGCCATGTCATCTATCCAACTTTTTTTTCTATCCAACAATGTAGCAAACTACTTTTACTTCAACATGCTTCTTGCAAATGTTCCAAATGTTTAGTAACATCTTTTCTAAGCCAAATTTCAGTGAAGTTTATTTTGCTAGTTGCTGTCTAATGGCACCATCCTTAAACATGCAGACAATTTCAAGCTATGTTTATTCTGTGAGATTCCCAAGAACATTTTTATTTGAATGGAACAAAAAACTGTGTCAGGTGCACAAAAAGGTATTTAATGAAAATATTTCCATTTCGTCCCGAGATGCAATATTCAGCCATTGTGAACTCATCCTTAGCTGAACAAATATTTTCCATTTTTAACCTGAGGGGGGAGATAAAATGGCCTGGGGCAGAAGTAGCTTGCTCATGAACTTTGAGACATCCATTTTGAATTAGGTGTTCCCCATATCCACTTTATTTAATGAACATTCTGAAATGGGAAAAAGCCTATTTGTGCCTCACAAGAAAAACACATTTATTTGGGTAGTGTCAAGGGTGACATGACCTTTTATCCACAACATGGAACTACCCATCCAAGCACAAGGATGGTATACTCCATTATCTAACCCTTTTGCACCATCTTCATTCCCATGTTTCAGAAAGTTTTACAGGGAAAATTAAAACCTCCTTCAGAATGAAGATGGGAGACTTATGCATCAGGCCAATAGACACAGGACATGACCAACAGCTAGCCTCCCCCACTTTTTGCGGGTCTTATGATTGGGTGGTGCTCAATGGATCGACCTATTAACTCTGAGCCACAATGCCAAAATAAGGGTTACTTTTTCTCCATGTGGAGAAAATTATCACCACATCAGTTCCTGGAGCTCCCGGTCATGCCTGAACCAGAACAACTGTTTTATGGTAGCCAATACATCCCCCAGGTCCCCTCTCTGACTACATTTCATTATGCTGCTGTGGAAGTACATTTGTAGCCACGTCCCCAAAAGAACTCTGAGCAGCATTGTGGATGTTTTTTACTACCAGGTTATTTCCTGGTCATACATGTATGGGTATCTTGGGGTTACTGATCTTTCAACACTCCTTACTCTGCAGTGGTTGGGGTCTGGCCATATGGGAGAGCCTACAGGCTTGTGGTGTATGCCTGGGGTGAGGCTTACATGAATCTTTGCCAAGTTGGCTGACTGGAAAAAATGACCATATTTGGTGATATGGTGAAACTTTCATCACCACTCCGTTGACACCAGGACTGATGCCCGATGGTCCAAAAGCTGCCCCCTCCCCCACTTTTAAAATTGTTCCGCTGCTGCTGCCCCCCACTGTGACTAGCTAACTGAGCTGACCTTGAACAAATCACATCTCATACAAACACAACAGCATATCAACAGTTAATAAAAATAGTTTGACTTATAAACTTCACCTCAAGAAGTCTTGACCATATCTTTAGCAAATCGGCTTTCCTCTCTTTTGGTGTCCTCCTTCCAGCCGCAGCATCGAGAGAAGCCATCACTGATTGGGCAATCTCACACATGAAGGTTGGGTCCTCAGCATAGACCTCAGAAAACAGCTATTTGTGGAAAATGACAGTCTCACAGACTTTAGAGCATAACACACTTGTAAAAGTTAACTATTACGGAGAAAAGCTCCCAAAAGTACTTGATGAAGTATTTTTGAATACTTTTGTCAAATAAAAGAAATGGTTTACAAAACTGCAATAGTCTAAATAGATCACTTCACTGTTTGAAGTTTACCTCTGAGCATTTATCAATGTCCATGTTCTCTCACTTTGTTAACACTTCATTAGTTTAATATTTGGCAGTAAAGAGTTGGTGCTGCAAATGTGATCGATTTAAATATTGACACGACCCCACTGATGTGCAATTACTGGTGTCTGTTGCACTCTGCATCATACATGAACACCCAAGCACACACCTATTGTCATGTATCCCTCCCTCATTCATATATGAACCAGATATGCACAGTGGGCACTGAACCTAGGGGCTACAAAAAATTCAGAGACCTAAGAAAATTTGAGGGCCCACAAAATACCACAGTGTGCCAAAAACATCAGCACCATATTTACAGGTTTTAGATTCTCTCTCTGAATGTTCCATTTTGTAAAAGTATCAACTAGCTAGAAGGTCCTACATAAACTTAGCACAGCTCAGCTGCATTTAACGTAGGGCTCCAACAAAACAAACTCTGTCTTGGTGCCTAGCTGGAAAAGTAGGACCTACAAAACACTGGTGCCTAGGGCCTACTATGGCAACCTTAATCCAGCCCTATTTAAAGAGCCCACAGGACAAGACATGCGTCATCAAATGAACTCCTGCTCCTTACATCTCGCTGTATCTGATTGGAGAAGGTGCTCCCCACAGGCTGCAGGTGCTCCCATTCCCTCTGCGCAATCTCCAGTATTTTCTTTTCAATCAGAATGCTCTCAGTAACAGAGCGGGGCTGATGCGCATGCACCAATTCCTGAAAGTACAGAGGGGATTTTTTTGTCAGGGGCTAAAATGGAAGTCTCACCTTATGACCTTATACAAACATGCCTTTTGCTTTACAAGATGGGGGGTGACTTTAAACCTTTACATCTCATTCGTAGTGTTTCTAGCATCTCTCACAAAAATCAGTTTGCATAGTGTTAGCTGGGTTCAAACATTTCCTGAAGAGGAAGTTCGGAAAAGTACTTGTGAAATTTCGACAACATTTTGTATTCAAGAAGTACATCTGTAGTGTATTTAAAATCAGTTTATCACTTGAATGAAGTAGAACTAGATCAAAAGGCCTTGTAAAGCAAATACAGACTGCTTTACCTCATGGTGCAGTAAAAAATTAAAATGCTAGTGCATCACTTCAGGTTAGTGTTTCTACATCACTCATCAAGACAGTCAACGTTTGTATAATACATCACTACATGACCTTGAATTCAATCGTTAAGTCAAACCTTTGACATACAAGTTATTTTTGAAACTGAATGTAAAACAATTTGGACTCTGGGGAATGGCACACCTAGCATGCCTAGGATTTGTTGCATGTGTATGTGGGGGGAGGGGGGTCATGATCAGAATTTCTCTCAAAAAATAGCTTGGGATGCTTAAGCTCCCCCCTCCCCATTGCACCACAGGGGACAAGGAGGTACAGCTATATCAGAGGTAGTGGTTTCAGATGAAGGTGTACGTACATCGTACGTGTATTTTTCAGAAAATTAGAAAAAAGGATTATAAAAAAAGAAAAACCTGAGAGGCTCAACCCCCCTTAGTGCACCAAGGACTATGGAGGAATAAAAGGCTTGTACGGCAAAATATTTCAATTGAAGCTGGAGGTCTACTGTGACCCTCTTATCACTATCAGATCAAAATTGAAAACTTCCAGAGGTCAAGCTTACATTGAAAGCTTGAGTGAGAGCCTGTGGTACTCGGCTGGCCAGTGCAAGGCTTGGGTGGAATTCCAATAGGTACACACACTGCAAAGCAGACCTGGCAATAGGAAAAAACACATAGAAAAACCATGGGAACAGGCTTGGATAAAGTGCGCATTGGTATGGGTTCACGGTAGCTGGCATGCAGAAATCTAAAGATTATGTTTAGCCATACACTGAGGCAGAAAGCAGGTTCATGCCATATTCTTTGTGAGCCAACAAATTCCCCATGAGTTTTAACGCGTTTTCAGCAATTTCTGCAAGTGAGAGGTACATGTACACTTGCCCTCATGCTTCAGCAGTATCCATTTGTTATCAAACACAATGAGGGTCTGACTAGAGTGTGAAAGCTGGATGTGTGAGATAACCCATTTCAGCTGACAACAAGCCAGTGGATGTAGTAAATACTGCTCTAGTGCAATGCTCCAAGGTAGGGAAGGCTTTTATGGTAAGAAATCTCATAACGAGATCATCCAGTTCATTTCCAAATTCAAGATTTCCAGCTGAAAATACACTCATGTGAGGCTTTTTCATTGTGGTGACAAGAGGCAGGCAAACTCTGCATGAACAAGTAAAAATAACAGATCTTTGACTTGACGAAGTAAGACTACCTGCTGATGTTGATGGACACCGGCTGCTTTGGAATGATGCGGAACGGCTTCCCAATCTGATGCTCCTCACCATCTCGGCAAACTTTCTGGATGTACTCCCGCTGGTCGCTAATCTGTTCAGGAATCAAAGAACAGATAAGAGATAGAGGGGGAAAAATGCAACACCACTGATGGCATGACAGGCATGTGGAGGGAGTCTGGGCATTTAGTCCATTAAGGGTGACTTTATTAATTATGACAGCAGGGCTGGAAAGTTTCCTGTTTGGCTTATAAAGGAAAAAAAAGTGGCAAAGACGAGTGTGTAAAGCTGGCTCTGAAACATACTCTCACAGCTAGTAATGAAGGGACTGGAGGTAGTGGCATGGTAATGTTACCGTCATAAACTAAGTACACATACTACCATTAGAAACTTTCAAAGGTGGGAGAGGGCTGGGCCAGGGTGCAGGCAAATATGCCGGGAGGGATTGGGCCAGGGCTGGAAGCAGGCTGAAGGTAGGACGCCCAGAAACATTATGGAATTCATGGTCCCTATGTTATGCTAGATTATGCCTGACCAATGTTGTGGTAATGCCACAGGGAGAACATGTTTGCGTCACTAAAAAGTTACATTTGACCCAAAACGTGTCACAGCGTCCGGATGCCTTAGGCCAACTTTATGGGATTTATAAGAATTTAGCATTTCCTCTCTACAACTTGTGGAACTAACAAGGTGACTGGGTTTTGGGATTTGTATATCATCCCCCACTTGTACACTTGAATCTACACCACTGAATGGAACATTTTCAACAGGAGAGAAAATTACAAATTTCCACCCAAATAAGCCATATTAAAGGATGTACAATCTTTCAAGACATGTATACTCAGAACACATTCCTGGGGAATCTGGACAGCCAAATGTACATGTAATTAGAAATGGAAGCCACCATACCTGCTGATCCAGCACGGACTTGATGAGAGCGCAGTGAAGTCTCAGGCAGTGGCACTCAGCCCGATAGGTGCGTACAAAATACTCGGCCTTCAGGTCAAAGCGAGGCCGTTGGTAGGTTATGTTGGTGATGACCTGGGCCAGAGAGCGCTTCTCGTGCATGTCAAAGACATGCTGGTAAGCCTCCAGGTATACATCCAGTAGCTAGAATTAAGTTAAGTCAGTAACTACACTTAACCACACCTCAGTAATTTACATCACATAAACCTATGAGGTTAATCTTGTCGACCCCGTCAGAGTATGATATTACTAAAATTATAAACCCTGAAGGGCCTTTTCGTAGTTGAGATTTGTGGTTTTCATCCCATTGTAGGTTGTGGCCCCCGTACCCTTTACGAGCAAATCTGTTGGTTTTATTTTAATCTGAAAGGGGTTCACTGATGTTTTGGTAATATACAGTGTGTTTTAAAAAAAGGAAACCGAGATTAATTTTTTACTATCTTAAACTTTATCTATCTATTTCTTAAACTATCTATCTTTTTACTATGGTTAAATATTTTGGACACTGGCAACAACCAATGATGTCCTCTTTCTTATGACACCAAGAAATCCAATTTACTGTCACAGATGACTGAGCATAGAGCAGTTCAATCAACCATGTCGGAACTGGTCTTGCATCGGATAGATGTTTTGGTAAAGAACCTTATGTGCCCAGTGCAGGGCTTTTGTTGGGCGTCCAAATTATGCAATCCCAACATGTTATTTCATTGCACACTGCTTAAAAGGTGGAAAGGTTGTTCATTTTCTCAGACCAGCAAAATGCAGCTTACAACTGAGTAGTGTGTGTTTGCGGTAACAGAGTGGTTGTGGACTGGAAGCCTCCAGCAAGTAGCAGACCTATTTGGTGAGCATTTTCCTGACCATGCCATTCCCGCCAAGTCGACAATTTTGAAAAACATCCGAAAGTACCAAAGGGAGAATCTCAACAAGGACCGCTCAAGCCGACGAAGAGCGGCAAGATCAGATGCAAACATCAGGGCTGTCTGTGAGTTGCTACAAAAAGACCTGCTCGTGTCTGCCAGGAGAAATGGGCTAGGAATTTCGCTGTCATCTTTCCACAAGATTGTTTGATTGGACATCCAATAGTACCCTTACAAGACGCACAGGCAACACAAACTCCTTGATGCAGGTCAACCCAGACGACTAAGATTTTGCTAGTGGTCCCTTGACCAGCATCCAAGATTCTTAGAGCACCTTGTGATTGGGGAGGAAGCATTGTTTTTCATGAATGGCCCAATGCATACCCCATCCAACTTCAGTTTTGATGTGAAAATGAGCCGATAAAAGATTTCTCTTTGGATAGGTCTTTGTGGGGATAGTACCATCATTGGACATTGTTTTTTTTTTGATGGCCATCTCAATAGTGCAGCTACTTTGAGATTATCAACGACGAAATTGTGCTGTAGTTACAGCAACACTTTGAACACCACAGTGGATTGTTTTGCCATTTATGGTGGGCCCAGGATGGAGCTCCAGCTCATCGTCGGATCATCATGAGGAAAAGACTACGAGAGTTGTTCAACATGAGAGTAATTGCAATCAACCATGAGATCGAGTGGCCACCAAAGTCCCCTGAGCTCACCCCCCGTGATTTCTTTTTGTTGGGACATCTTAAGAACCAAGTTTACAAGTCGTCACCCCAAGATATCAATGAAATACGGGCCAGAATCATCACTGCAGTTGAGACCTTAAGAGGACAGAAAGATGTAATCAGGAATTCAATGAGAGTGATAAGAACCAGAGCTGAATTTTGTGTTGAAAGGAATGGGAGTATGTCAAAAAACAATGGGGTTACATCGAGACAGGCATAAGCACCCTAATGTTAAATAACTGAATACAAATTTTATTAGACACACTAATCTTTCTTCTGTTTTTTTAGGTATGAAAATTGTCAGAGTTAGGCTTCGGAGAATCTGGTGCAAGACCAGTTCTGGTGTCGTTGATTGAGCTGCCTTGTGCTCAGTCATCTGTGACAGTAAATTAGATTTGTTACACTCATAAGAAAGAGGACATCATAAAACCCTTGATGATGGGAATTTCTTCTCGAAAGCCGACTCCAAGAATTCCAGCCTCGCTTGGCCACGAAGGCCACCTGCCAAACCACAGATGCTCGGTTTGTAGCCCTGCTTGCTCTGCACGCTTTGAATTACAAAGCAAAAAGGCATGCGGCTCTACTCTCGTAGTCTTTTCCTCATGATGATCCGACGATCCGACATAGTGAGGACTATTGTGAAGCTGG